ATATCACCAGACCAGGGAGAAGATCAGGAACCTTGAGTCACAAAACATAAATCAAACGTTTGTTGGGGTCACTGTGTCTTCAGATGTTATGAAAGGGTCGCCCTGTTTTGTTTGAGGGGGCGAAGTCTTTTCTTACTATTGCGAAATCAGATTTCCCGGCACCACACACACACACACACGGCCAAAGAAAATGACCAGTTCCTAAGCAAGTTTCCCCTTGGAACAGATAAGGGCTCACACGTTGAACTAAGGCGGGTAGAATGTCGGCTGCTATTTAATACTTATACTATTAAAAGTCATTGAGTTTGTTTAAAACGTGGTATTGGAATGCGTGTTTGCGTGAAATGATCCCTCCTCGATTCCAAATGGTCAACCCCTAATCTGTTTCATGGGAAATGTTCCCTCACCGTTTACGACACGGATTCCGTATTTAATTAGGTGAGCAAAATTCTGCTAAGTTGCTAAAATTTTGCTCACCGCTTATCCAAACTCCTCTGCATGCATATACAGTAACGCCGTTCATGGATATACCCGGAAAATGAAAGGTGCCTGTCCAAAATCTGTATTAAAATGAAAGACAGTTAGTTGCTAGTTTGAAACCACGGGCGCGTAGTCTATGTTTGTTCCGCCATTTATGATTATTTTGTAAATTATGAGAAATTGTCAATCAAAAGTAGATAGGTTTGTAATTTTGCGTGAGATAAAAAGACAATAAGACAGGTGGCTGGCTATCAGTCTGTCGCCTTTATAATTCTCCGGAACACACTTGTGTATAAAACGTAGAAGTTACGTCACAGCTAATCAAAATTAAGTTCAAACCCAAGACCACATAAATGACTGACTGGAAATGTAGTACCATATGTAACGGAGTAATTATGCTTTACTACAAGCTCATTACTTATATCTGCCAAACGAACTCACAATATCGCTTAGATAGCCACCATACAGTATGCATAAATGCAGATATTTAGTGACAATCCCATAAATCCCATATTGATGAACGTAGTTATACGCGGCAGCTACATGTCTGGATGTGAGTGTCTTGAAAGTAAATGTGTGCGAGTCGCTGTAGACGTCTTTACGCACCAAACGTCTCGCATTGTATTAAATAGGTTGGTTCATACGGCCCGACCTGATATCCCATGAGAACCATTAGATCGTGTTTTTTTTAGTTTTACGATATCATGGAACACGTTAGTTAGAATTGCTAAAGTGTGCTGTCTGATTAGTCTCGAACCAGGCATCGGAGTTTGCTGCTCATACGGCCATATTTTGTATGATAAGATTTGTCAGAATCTGAACGTCAGCCATTCTTATAATCGTTGAAATAGGTGAACCCGTTTACTACTAATCAGCAATATTTTAGTTTACATCGCCCCCACCCCAAGTGTGCGCAGGTGAGTGTGTTGTTTTACATCTACTCGAGTACACCATTGGTGAGGTATATAATGTGAATGACGAATGAAATTTTATTTCACCAAAACAAAAATTAAAACAACATTAAATGTAGAAATTGTACAAGTAGTACATATATATACATAAATAATGAATGCTACTTAAAATGTTTAAGGTTTTTCTTATGACATTCATTTATTCTGGCGCTATATTCTAGATGACTATTTAGAAACAAATTTTTGTGTACAAAAATATTATATAAGTTTGAGTTTAGCTCCTATTTTTGATGGTAGCGACAAAGTTAATAAGTCATTTTGAGGTAAAATAGTTTGACATTGGCATGACAGTGACCGTGTAGCGTAATAGAAAATGACACACACTAAAGATTACAACGCCCACTCACACCGTGTATGAACTCTATTGAACCATAGACCGGTCTATGATTGAACTACCCAGCATTCATGACTGTAACTGTGTGTTGCCATGGTTTCCGCCAATCCGATTACCGAGCATGTTACTCGTTGGGATTTCCTTGTCCAACGGTTACATTGCATAGCAAGGCGCTTGTTATTAATGGGGAGACTGTAGGATTACCGATCGAAACACGACACAATAAATTCATCCAGACCCCGAAGAGCCGCTTCATCAGCTCTCGTTATCTGCTCCGTAGATGGTATGGAATTCAGTATTTAAATCACGATTTTCTGTCGATCATATTTCAGTTTCGAGAGCGCTTTTGAATCTCAATACTACTAAGGACTCGTTGTTTTTGAACATGGAGGCGATAAACTGTTCTAATTGTGGGGTTTTCGATAAACAACGGAAGTTCTAGAAACCAAAAACGAAACATGATGATGTATGAAGTCATTACGTCTGCCTTTCTTCCTAAATAATATCGAGTGTTCAAATTATAATTTATTTTGGGTCGACAAAGGGAGAAGTCACGACTAAAATAGTTATAATAATTATCATAATCACCGGACGCTTTTTGTCTTACTAGTAACGAGTTGTGGGGTGTGGATATTGTCGAAGGTAAAGACATAAAAAATATATTGGTTGTATCACAGTTCCTCATTAAGGGACTGTGGTTGTATACGTATGATATAAATATAACGAAAGAGTATGAATACAATTGATCGCCTTGTGCATGTGAATAAAATATTTGCAGAAAACCAAATTTGGCAAGATCCGTCCGTTTTCAAGCATGGTAAGAGAAAAGTACTCGATGGTACATATGATGCTTTGTTGAAGGAAGTGAGGTCTTTGATAATCACGAAATCGCGACTTGCGGAAACATTTCGAAAATTATTATAACAAGAATGGGTGTCAGAATTCGTTTCCATGGAAATTGTATGTTTACTTTTTTAATAATAAGCTTATACATGCCTATGTGCACAGCACAGATAATATGAATTATATTGTTGTCGCAAGACTTTAGCCTTTAAAACGTATCAGCCATTTTGAATACCAATTATTGAAATCTAATCTAAATTGGTAAAATTGTCAACTTAAATGTGACAACTTGCGTACATTCACAAGTTTTACTCTTATGATACTTTTTCATTTTCATTGGGAAACGGTCTACATTTAAGTTGTTTTATTCCCGAAAGTGTCTTACGTGTAATTGTTTCAATATGACCCCTCTCCATGAATACTATATGTACTAATCCGAGTATTATTATTAGATGATACTAAAGAAAGACCTCGGAAAT